CGGATGTTCGAAAATATTTGCTGAAGGATATATATAGATATAACGTTAAAAACATAGCGTAGATCTGTCGTTGCAGCTGTTACCTCCGAATTAAAACGAAATGTAAAATACTGGCCAATCGCATAGTAAATCGAGAGCAATTTCGCGATTACTCGAGGAAGGCGTAAAGTAAACAATCGCTGTATTATCGTCTTCGAAGAGCAATGAAGTAATTGAGAGCGTCGCACTGATTATGAATAAAAAACACATAACAGCAAAGTTTCAGAATTGTCCATCGCGCCGCAGGGAATTTCTCTTGAAAACACGCCTATTGCATACAATAGCATATAATGCAATATGTATTGCGGCATTGGCTATTGTGGCATAAAAACTTGGAAATAATCAAAATATCCACATTATTGCGCCGCCTAGAAGAAAGTGAAGTAATTTGCACGGAAAAAAATAGTTTTGTTGAAGTATCTAAAAATTTAAGCAATTACAGATCTGAAAATAATTTTGTTGGACCATTAAAATGAGTATGCAGGACGTTGGGGGGGGGCATAAACATTACACAATACATTATCATAACATAATGCAAATAGTTTTGACATTCTAGCAGTTAGTTTAAGTATTTCAGATAATTATTTTGATGACCCAAACAAAATTATTTTCGGATTTATATCTAGCATTTTTCTAAAACTTCATCTTTAAGAGTATATTGAGAGAAATATTTCATATGATATATGTGACTTACAAAAACTTTCTTACTTTTTAATTAAAAAATTTGATTGTTTTAATCAAAATTAAAATAAACAAATATTTATTAGAACAAAAATTTTTAATTAAAAAGTGAAAAAGTTTTTGTAAGTCACACGTCATAACAAAACATTTCTCTCAACGTATTAGATCTTTAAAGAAACTGTTTTACAGAGTTTTGTCTTTCTATGACAAGAACTAAAATAGTCCAATATGAGCTAAATTGGCATAAACCCAAAAACCAACCATAATGATACCGCTCCTTTTTAGATACATTGGCACAAAATAGTTCTTTCCATGAGTATTAGTTTCATTCTGAGAACAATTTGCAAGTTGCGCGCAAATTCTTATCTTCCATATGCCTACGTTAATTATAAAATTGACAGCGTTGTTATGATACATACGTAGTGTATCAAATTTAGTGTCGGATTCTCTTTAGCAGAAATTTTCTATTATAGATCACACGGTTCATAAAGTAAGGTATTTTCGGAAATTCTCGACAAGGAAGCGCGTATTCCAGCCCGATGTGATAATGCATCGACGGCGACGCGATAACGTAAAGAGCGGCAACTTAATTAATTAACTTGCGCAGCGCGCAGCCGTTTACATTCGGTTTCTGGCATGCATCCGGGAACGCCCAACCGCCGTTATCGTTCCCCAGCGTGCATTGGCGTCTTCTTACGAGATCGTGTGCATCTTCCGTTCCGTTTCTCTTTCTACCTATCTCGCATCGTGCTCTCCCTTTCGCTCTCGCGACGCGCAACAATCGAAAATTCTCTGTTTCTCTTTTGCGAAATTCTTTCGCAGTTCATTGATGATCACCGCGTAACGTTGATACCTTAATTAAAATTTTCCCTAATTTAACGATACGTTCGTAATCCGAGAATATTGGCACCGCGCGCCGCTAATTAAATGCAAATAACAATTACGTATGGATGTTTAATCCTAAAAAACGTCATTATTACTTACCGTTAAAATATTGTTAATTACATGATTGTAAATATATAACGCAATGTATGCTCTGTTGATCGCCTGCCATGTAATCATCCTCCTGCACATATAATCATGTCGTTCGTTGTCGATTAAAAATACGTTGCCGACGCTGCGATGTTTATCCGCAACAAAATATTCCTTTGACATACGACCCATTACAGCATCGTCGACGATATATGACACTCGGGTGACGTTGATTTAAAACTTTTCCGTGCTCGACGTGTCAATGGCCGACGTACCGGCCATTACCATCGTCACCACTTACTACACTGTTCTAAATCAAAGAGGACACTTTTTCAACTTTTCAATCTAATTTATACAATATTTGCTCGTCAGATCATTCGCTCGACCGTGCCGCGCGCTCATCCAAGCAATTTCACGCTCGTCTTTCCCGGCGGAAAGAAAGCACCCCCCTCTTCTCCTCGTCCACCCGGGACGATTCCGCGGGTCCAAAGATGTAGGTCGTTCTCGTCAGTGGCGTTTCAAAGATCGAGCGTCAGGCAGAGGATATCTATAGGACGTCAATTCCGCGTAGTAGAGGTATACCTTTGACCGCAGGGAGACCACTTATGGAACAGCGACGAGAATGTACCGGCCGTTACGTTCCTTCTCGTCTTTCACCTTTCTCTTTCTCCTCTTCTTCTTCCGCTTTTTCTCCTTCCGCTTCTTCTTCGATTTCATTCCGTCCGCTGAGTACCGCCGTGATGAAAGCGCATCAGAGTCGCGGCCGTTCTCTCGAGCGTGTGGAAAGCGATATCGCGTGTCTTCCTGCAGAAGTCCGCAATACCGCAGTGTCGAAAATTCAAGGAAATGCAGCTGTTCTGCCATCGCGAATGTTATTCTTTTACGAAGCTAATCATCTCTCTGTTGAAGATGGAGGTTAAACGGAGATCTTGAGTTTGTAGAAATTAAACCGACAGTAAAAACATTTCCGTGTCCCGTTTCGTTTTATATTTTAACTAGCTGTAAAAACATTTCCGCTCCATTTTCGATTTTGCGAAACAGTTTATGCGTGTACTAAAAGCGAATTTTGTAAAATAATTTTTCACTTAAAAATACGTCGGGCAAATACGAATAAAGAAACTGTTCCAACAGTTTCAACGATAGCGTTATTTCAACAAACGGCCACTTGAATAATACAGTTTCACCGTGTCGAGAACAGTAAAATGCAAGTGGGATATCGCGGTACTGTATTCCGACGAAGGAGTATCTTGATGTCGTTTTCAGATGAAAATGTTGCGTGTACACGTAACGCGAGTATATTGACGAAGCTTCACCGTGACAGAACAGTCACGTATTTATTGGAAAATGCATGAGCCGAAAGCGTTATCTACCTGCACAAAATATTTTGGAATTCCTGTGACTTTTGACTTAATATCGTAGTAGCATATTTGTACACACGCATGTGCACACATATTCACTTCAAATTCTCTATTAATGTAAAGTATTTGTTACCAGAATTAAATAAAAAACGGACACGATCCGAGGCAGATATATTTTTTTTTTTTCCTATTATTTTGATTCAACCGCTACATGTATTTATACGTTATAAAATGGGGCATTGAACATTTTATAATGTTACTAAAATGAATGAGTTTCAAAGCTGTTTTGCAATCATGCAAGCTGTGTACTTTATGAAACGTTGGATATTGCGGATTTATACGCCGCAGATGTTTGCAATAGACAATCTGTTTAGTTGTAAACTAAGATTGGCGTTTGCACCGAATTCGGCTATTTGCAGAATAGACGTGACCCACTTGCCGATAACGCCAGACGAAAACTAATTTTAACCGTATGAAAATGGTTCTTGATTTACAACGGGATATATATTCGGAACAGCGAGATACGTACGTTCAACAAATCAATGAAAATTATTTTATTTATGCGACTCTTTTGTCGCACCAACGTTGTCCAATCTTCGGCGACGTTCGGTAACGTTCGCGATTTTCAACAAAGTAATTTCTGCAAGAACACGTTACCGGCTCGCATATATGTTCACCAGTTTGTTTGTGGCCGCTATTGCTTCGAATGTCCTCGTTTGCTTTCCTGGCCATTCCTCCCACGGTGGTGGAGATTTATTTTACTACTTACAATTAGTTTCAGCCACCACTTCGTATACTCAGAGACACAGTGCGACGTGTGCGCAGGTCAGCGCGAAGAATACCGCGCAGTTTACTGTGATTTAACTACTCGACCGTATTTCAGACCCTCCATGTTGGGGAAACTCCAATGTCTTAAAAACATGTACGCTTGAATATTATCCAACATTTTAATTCAATTGAGTTTCATATTCAATAATAATTATCATACATTTGAAAGACGCGTTAGAGACGAATATCTTCATTTTTTAAATCTTGTAAACATATTTTATGAATTTTTATATTATGAGTTCTCTCTCTCTCTCTCTCTCTCCCCCCCCCCTCTCTCTCTCTCTCTCATGTTCGCGATATTATAAATTTGAAAAGTTATTACTTGAGGAGATATTATCCTAGCACAAAAATAAGTGATTATTCATTCATTCGTTCATTCATACATTCGTTCATTCTGTCATTCAGTCATTCAGTCATTCATTCATTCATTCGTTCATTCATTCATTCATTCTTTCATTCATTGTTATATTATCGTATAAAATTTTCAAATTAAATAAAAAAAGAGATTGATAATCACCGGCATAAGTATATGAATACAAAACATTTAAGAACTATCGAACTTTTTCTCGACCGCAGATGCTGGAACGCCGGAGTGAAGAAAAATAGCGCTTTTAAAGTTGAGAAAGGTCGATAGTTTTTGAATTACAGCCGATTGAAAATTAGAAGCGAGGTGAACTTCGAAAGTGTAAATAGAGAATAAAACCTAGTTCTCTCAGCGAATTTCAGAGAACTTTATTTTAACGGCAGTTCAATCTAAGGCTTGATTACCGAGATTTCCGGAACTATTTCGACACCGTCCGGCTGCAAATTCTTTAATTAACTTGTATATAGAGTTGATACATTCTGCATAAGTATATCAATAAAGTATCAATTATGAATAACTAAAAGTCTTAATTTAAAGATTCTTAATTAGAGCTTTCTAAATAATAATAGCTAGTAAATAATAAAATATTCATGCAAATTAATGGTGCTTAAATTAAAGTGCACTTTAATTTAATGCAATTTTAATAGCATATCACTTATAAATATATTTAATATTTTTAGTTAACGCTAGAAGAAATGTATAATTCAGTCTCATACTTTTATTTATACTTTCTAATTAATATTTTAATCTATTGGAACGTTTCTTTCATAATTTATTATAATCTTTCTAATTTCCAGTATTAGATGTATTAAACGATCAAATCAAAATCGATCTCAGTGAATGAATTCGTAGATATGTCTTTCAGCTTAGTGGAATGCTATCGGTTGGATTGTCGATTTGGCAGCGCGTGTACACGATAATTTTCCACCGTCTTGTGCGCCGATTCGAGCGCGAAGGTTGTACTTCCGGTTGGTAGGACTCCGGTCAACGAGCAATTTTCCGGCCGATTGGTTTGCGAAACGTCGAACTTGCTTCAAGTCGATCTCCGCCAACAGCAAGAGAGACACTCTTGTTTACTTCATGCTGGGGATGGAGATTCTCTGCATGCACATCTTCTTCTCTTTAATTTGAGATTCCACTATTCGAATATTACCAATTAATATCAACACAAATCTCTTTACTATATGTATAAAAACAAGTATTATATTATATTTTTAAATCATGTCCTTCTTTAGATAATATAATTTTAAGTAATTTCTACAATTGGCTCTTAATCAGTTTTCTCCAGCTTCCAAAAATCAAAATTTTATTTATCTTGTTGAAGATCATCAACTTTCAAAATTGTTACTGTATTGTAATGCGTTCTTTAAAAAAGATATAGAAAAAGTATCATCAAATGTTTTCCGTCAGCCAGAGAATCGAAGATTCGTTTTAAAAAATTGTAATCTCCGATCGAAAACCGGAAATGTAGCGATCGTGCTCTTAACATACGTGAAGTTTGACTGGTCTTTAGATATTAAATTGCATGCAGATGTTAAGATAAATATACGCACGAAGGGATCCAATTCCCCGTAACGATCGATTTTATTGTTTACTTCGGGTCAAAGGTAGTCTGGACTCTTGTATGCTGTAGTTATCTATCCTCTACTATCGCAGGATAGACATCGTTTACCAATTAGTACGTCTGGTAAATTTTCGACTCGATCGTAGTGTGGAGAGTATCTTGCGCGCGTTACACCCATTTAATTAGACGAAATCATAAACGCACGATACTAAACAAATGTCGGTGCGAGTGCGCGTTGGGAATATGACCATGATGAAGTTTGATTATTATTTGTCCGTGCACGTATAAATTCTAATCAACGTATATCATAGTTATATATCAGCGAGAATGTCGAGTAAATTACGGCGGCTGCGCCGCATAACTCGAAGCTCGTATTCGGAAGTTAAAACCGCATCCGACCGTGCATAGTATTCTAATAAATACAGTATATCCTTGCCTTTTCCTCTAGAAATGATCGGAATGATTTTCTGCGGTTTGCCAAAGCATTCGAAACCACGCATACGCGTTCAGTAGCGCGAATAGTAGTTGAAATATTCTAACGAGAGAGAGAGGGGGGAGGGAGGAGGGGAGGAGAGTTGAAGATAATTTATAAACGGTCGAATATTTTAATTATTTAAATTGTATTCTTTGAAAACACTAAAAATAAAAAAAGATGCAAACAAACATAAATTACTTCATTGCTTTCAAAATATATAATATATACACATATTTCAAAATATATGTGTGTGTGTGTGTGTGTGTGTGTGTGTGTTATATACAATGCAGGGAATGAAAGTAACTAGTTACTTGTAACGCTGTTATATTTCCCATTACTCTGTTATATCGATCTGGCAATGATGAATTTTTTTGACTGTACACAACGATAATATTGGGGTTGAAAAACCATTGGATCGTTATTTGTAACGAGTTGGAAAAGTCACTCCTTACTGAAAAAATTAACTCGACATTTGCAACTCGTTACTTTTTAGTCATTACTTGTAATGAGGTAACGTTACTCGTTATTCGTTACAAATTATTTTTTTCAATAAGTAAACGCGTAATAATGCAAGTTACTTCACAAAATGATTTTTCCAATCTTAGCGCAATTTCAGCGTTTATTACTTTAATTAGTTATAAAAAAATTACAACATTATCAAATTGTTATTATGAAAAGTAACGGAAAAAATAACGAAATAGTTACTCTTCCATTTCCTGAATTATAATGTATATATGCAAGTGTATACACATACAAATGTGTACAATGAAATATATAATGTTAATGCCAATAACATGCTAATAAAGAGCCAACACTGTATGTACATATGTACATAAATTTATTAAATTATGAGTATAATCAATGTGGTGATAATTAATCAAATAATAGTCATAACAATAATTCTAAACATTTCGACCTCTCTTTAGGTCTTCAGTACATTATTAAATTTAAATTTTTAATACAAATTTTGTTATAATATATGTATATAAATTATATAATTTACGTAGAGCTACCAAAAAGAGAATTAAAACACGAGGAAAAAAATCAATCACGGAGAAACGGGGAAATCCGATCGAGGGAAATAAGATAATTCTGAAATGTACGATATATGTACGCGCCGCCAAACACACAGTTTGATCAATGAAGCGACTTGCTGGAAATGAACAAGGCGGCGCTGTATCGGACACGTACGAACAAAAAAAAAAAGATATGGGGGAGGGGAGAGGAAAAAAGGGGAGGGGAAAAAAGCAGAGTGAAACTGGGATGAGACCGCCGCGACGGGGCTGTATGCGTCGCCTGTTTATGTGCGCGCGGATCGTGTTTACTCGGAGGGGTTCGTATGTACTTGCATAAGCAACCCAGGTACCCGGCAGGGCGTGTACTCCTCCCTCCCCCCCTCGGTGCACCACCCCCGCTTCCGTAACTCCGGCTACTATTTACGGACGTGAGTAATTCATAACTCGTTTTTTCGTTAAGCTCATCTTGTCCCCGGCTTATTCCTTCCCCTCCCCCTCCCCCGTCTGCTCCACCTCTTCTTCTTTCTTTTTTTCAATCGGGAATGGTTTGTGAGGGCCTCATAAAAACGAGCTTTGATCGGGTGCACCGAGCCGGACCGATCGTCAACCAGCGCGACCGGCGAAGTGTCGGACCGAACTGTAGCTGCACGGCACCGAACACATACATTGGCATCTTGTATGTGTTCGCGTATATATTTGTGTGTGCGCGTCTGTACTCTAAAAGCTCGTTATTAGATCGCGCGCACGTGATCTTTTCTTTTCCCGCGGAATGCTCGCTTGATAAGCGAAGAGCCCTTAACGGCTTCCCTTTAGCAGCGAAGAAGAGAAAGCCTTTTAGCTCGGACCACAATAACCGGCCGCGTCGTGAAAATCGTGAGATTGCGAGACGAAAAACTTCTTATTCTCTCTACTGTGTAAGACAATGTTCCACAATGTTCGAAATGGGTTTTATATAAATGTATTGGCGATGAGCGTATCGGCGAACGCGAGAACGATAACATGGTTAAGATGTTTATCAACGTTAATTCTTAAACGAAATATAGTTTATTAAACTACATATTATATTCATTAAATACATACAACTTGGAATTATCAGTGTTTTAATACAAATTTTGATTGCAGGTATATTACGGGGATTAATGTGACTAACGTTACGTGACTAAAAGATCTCTCGATTTACATACGAAATCGTTCGCCTGACTTTTTCTCGGGGAAAAGTGGATTCCGACGTTATTAAAGAATACTCCTTCTGAGTTACTGACTCCCATATTTTCTGAGATATCAACGTACTTCGTAAAGTTCAATATTATACGGTTCGCACGCGGTAGAATTCTTCCTGGCGCTTTTGACGTCTAATCGACTCGCCTTCTCGTAAGATACTTCTCGCCGGAACGACCGCTTTCGCGCGCAAATATTTCCACGGACAGGCTTTTGAACTAAGATCAAACACCAATCGCATACTGAGTTTCCGATTATTAAATCGAGACGCTCTTGATAATGCATGAGGTCTTTGTTGGAATAAAACGAACGAGCGTGGCGTAAAATCCACGTACGAGGTAAAAAAAAAAAAATATGGTCATACTGTTCTCTTCTAGATTCGGATATCTTTTCACGCGTTTCGGAGCACGAATTCCCGTTCATCTGAAATATATTTTACAACGCGGTCGTCGTGGTTACGAGCTGTAAATTCGCGAACATCACAGACGATTCGTCGCCTGTCGGTCAATGTTTGCGTATGACGGATCGATTCCGGTATACGATCGTCGACGAAATGATGAAATTCGTCGAGCAGTCGGTTAGGTCGTGAAAATAAAGATCGAAAGGCGCAGTTCTCGTTCTTCAAAGAACCAATTCTAGAAGAAGCTGCATAAACGTAAAAAGCGGAAGTCGATAGTAGAAAAAGAATGGTATAGAAAAAGAACGGATCCCCAGAACGTAAAACGCGTCGTTTACGTGCTAAAGTGTCGACGAACAATGTCCGTTGGATTGTAGAAGATCTACAGTGGATTGCGTCTACACTGCACACGTATGTAGCCGTCACGTTTATCGAAGTCATTAATTTGAGTGTCGTCAACGCCAGGATGTAACACTCGTTCGACCAAAATTTGGTTTATTCATCATGTCGGAATAATCGATCGGGCGAAGGTCGAAGTCGCGCATGTTCCGGCAGCGACAAATGATTAATAGGCCGAAGAGTGTTTTACTCTTGTCTGCAAGTGAGTCGAATCACCGGTGTCTATTTTTGAGCAATGTGAATGACAATGCGATTCGACTGCGACTGCGAATTAAAAAAAAAAGAAAGTCTATCACATCGATATTCCATTACAATCTTCATTTATCTGCTGAAAAGGTATCTTCGATTATTCCAGTTATATGTCTGTTATTTTTAGGCTCAGAAAGAAAGTGATGACAACTATAAAAGTGACAACTATACAAGTTTTATATACAGAATTAAATTCTACAGTTAAATAAATTAATGTAAATATATAATTAAATAAATTATTTTATAGTTGCAGTAACTACAGTTCTATAAATTACTTCTACATATAAAACCTGTACAGTTGTTCTTTATAATTGTTACCACTATTTATACATTCTTTTTTCTAAATATACAAATTATTTCTATAATTATTTCCAGAGATTATTTTTTCTATAAATGTTCATAGAAGATAAGCAAAACAGAGAAACAGTATGCATCTTATAGGAAGTGTATTGTCAAATTGGAATAAACTGAGATAAAGCTTCCTGCAAAGTAGATGTGAAATTCACAGCGCAGACGGAATGTATCTAACCGGAATGCGTTCTACGAATATCGATACAGAATTGAGTTATACATTCAGAAACTAGGTATATAGAGGACAGGTCTCTCTCTCTCTCTCTCCTCTCCTCTTCGTGATAATGTATCGCCAGAAATAAGGCAGTAAATTTGACATGCCCGGCGTCTCGGGCGTGCTTTATGGTTGTCGACGTGCCAACGCGGACAGAACCACGAGAGGGAAGTCGCGATAATGTACGTAACAATGTCGAAAGTCGGAGAATGGGGGATCGTAGAAATAGAATCTCCAGGTCGTTCTGCGTCGTGA